TGGAGGACAGGATCACCGATGAGATCAGTTATCTTATCAAACATATTGATGGGTCTAATGGTGAGCCCGTGAATATCCATAAACTCCTGACCCCCAGTATATCCAACATTATTATGCAACTGGTGTTTGGTCACCGATACGACTATGATGAGCCCAAACGACAGGCCTTGGATCAGTTGGTCGACCAATTGTCTCAAGTCTTCTCAATGACCGGATTTTTAGCGACAGCACCGGTATGGCTGAGTAGACTTGTGTTCAAAATGGGATTATTTGGCGATAAAAAACAGTTTGATTACTCGTATCAGTTGTTTGAGTATGAATTGTGTTTATAATACAGTATTTTGTGATTTAATACACATTTAAAAGTTTTTGGATAACTCATTGTATGTATAGTAAGGAAATCTCTTCGCACCAGAAGTTATTGGATGTTAATAATAGACGCGATTATATCGACGGATACCTAATGGAAATGGATGTCAGACAACGAAAGGATCCCAACTCTAACTTCAATAGTCAGTCCATTATTTATTCATTGTTTTGTTATTAAATCTAATTATTTATTTGTTTAGTGAAGAGATTGCAATCAAATTTGAGAATGTTTTTCGGCGCCGGCAGTGAAACTATTAGGTCGACCACCGAATGGCTGTTTTTACTGTCCGTCAGATACACGCTTGTGGTCTTCTCCTAAGTGCTTCTCTAGCTAAGACACCAGCCTTCTCTAGCCTCAGGGACAATACGGCTGTCTGAAGTATACGGCAAGTGAGTCCGCAAGTAATACGAAGTGATGAGATATAAAACTCTCATTTGTTTAAATCTTGCTAGATGGTAACATAACATATAAAATAGTATATTAAAACAAACAACAATTAAACTTACAATTTGTTTGATGAATATATTAACAGTACAGATCTCCTGTGTAGTCAAAACCCAGTAAAGTATGGTTTTCTGTGATTTCAAAATCGGTTATATACCCGGCAAGTATTGCTGGGGTTTCATACCGTATTTGGCGTTCTGAAATTAGGCTTAGCTAAGGACACAAGTGATGGCAAACAAGTGATTAAAACAAAGGCTTTGATACCATTCTCTACGGGTTTGTTATGGAGTTGTTTTAATACAGTATAAAAATCAAAGAATATTCTGTATATTATTTGATTGATAGGTAAACGCAATTGTGTTGGCGAGACGTTAGGACGAGTGGAGGTATTCCTGTATTTCGTATCACTTCTGCAAAGATATACAATAAGTGCAGCAATTGATGGGACAGTTGTGTCATTAGAGGAGAGATTCGGGTTAACACTACAGCCCAAGGATGTGGTTGTCCTTAGGTTTCATAAACGGGTCTAAATTACGACTAAAAAAATATGAAATACAAATAAATATAATAAAATATATGTTATTTAATCTCTGTTTTATATGATAAGGGTTCATTTGTTATCACACCAAACTGAATGTAATAACATTTTTATGATAAACTCTACACTTTATCAATGCATAAGACTATTAATGACAAGAGTATACTGTACTGTATAAAGGGAATTACTGTATAATTAATATAAAACAAATATAAATTATTATCAAGTAGTAATACTGGTACCACTCCAACAATTCCTTATATTAAAATGAAAACTTGTACATCATTAATAATAATTCATTATTACTATTTGGCAATATAATCAGATCAGTACATGAGCAAATAATGGCAAACAAAAATTGATAATCTAATTACAAAAGTCTAATAAAATTGATTGCTACTAATTACTGTAAACAAATGTACAAATGTACCACCTCAATGTACTTAATTAATCGACCCAGGTTCATGTTATGATAACAGTTCATATATTCTGACATACTGTACAATATTATGTGAGATAAAAGTTTGCAAATTCCTTAACAGAATTCATATATATATCATATATATATTCATAAGAAAATTACTTACTTACATATCTCTCAAAAGTTTCTTGTTTATTACAAATTATTAAACATTTAATTTTAAGTGTTAATAATTAAAATATGTTTTTCACGCAATCGTTATTTTGTTACGTGCTAGAAAATGCCTTGTATGTTACACTGTTCATATTATTTGTCAAGTTTGTCAGTCATATATGGGGTAATATCAAGGAGAGAATGATTTTACCGGCTGGACCGGTAGGCCTACCAGTGGTCGGGTATTCACCATTCCTGGGCAAACACCCCCACAAAGTTATAACCAAATTGGGTGTCAAATATGGATCTGTTTTCACGTAAGTCTGCATATAATCATTCAAAATATTAGATTTTGTATTTACAAAAAAAATTATTAATATACAGATAATATCTACAAATATCTATGTTATTTTGTTATTTAGTTAACTATTATGAAATAATACAATTAGTAATAACGAGGTAAATTTAATATAAAAAGTTTTAATATTAAATAATGCTTAAGCATATAGGGAAGTATGTTTTATTAATAACTTATTATGAATAAAAAATTAAAGATTTATTTTTTAAAGTATTATACATTAGTTAAAATATTTTTATAGATTACAATTGGGAGTGAATAATGTGGTGGTCCTTAACGATTGGGAAGCAGTGAGGGATGCCCTCAATAAGGATGCCTTCTTAGGCCGACCCTTTCACAGTCCGTTCACTGCACTCAACAAAACTATAGGTAATTTATTTTGAAAAATATATATATGTTTTTAAACAATAAAATTATTATGAATTATAAATAGGTTTGGTTGACGCGAGCGGAGACGTATGGAGAGATCAA